AATGAGTCATTTATGTTAACTGCAAACAACACTCATCATTTTATGTGTTTTAAATTTTTATTGCTTTAATTAAAATAAAGATGGATTTTGTAACATATAATTGAACCTATATATAATGGCCAAATTAGTGAAATTATTTTTCCAATTCCTTAAATTTTCTTAATTTTGTTGAATATTAATAAAATTCCTTAAAATTTTATGAGATGTTATGCGAAATTTGAATAATTTCGTTTAAATGGACAATTTGATAAATTTGCATAGCACAAGGCGTAAAAAAATTGAAGAATTAAAATGACAATTTAACTTAAAATCATTTTTCATCAAGAAGATCAAATATTATCAATGCATACATTGCCCCTATAACTAAAGAAAAAACCATTCGAACCGCAAGAACAACCATGGTTTTCACGTGCACGAAAATATAAATTTGCTGCTGATTGAATGGAAACTTAATTATTTTAAAATTATATGTGTTTGGTGTGTTTTGTGGAACAATTTCATTTTTTAAAAATGAAATTTAAAATTTTATTATTCTGAAAAACAAATTCTCATATAAGTATAGCTTGATTTACTTCTAGTATGAATTTTCATGTATAAAAATTCTTATAAGAAATGTGTTGAATAAAAAGCTTACCAAATGATTATAGAAACTTAAACGTGATTTTATGAAAATTTACCAAAATATCTTAGTAACTTTTCTAACACCACTGAACCCTTCAACTTAAACCTTATATACCTTTATGTGTATATTTTTGATTTTATTAGTATTTAAAGCGGTAATATTGTAAAATTATATTGTATTGTGGTGGTTAAATAGAAGAGGGGAGAAAATATAAACTATCAAAAATGAATCACATCTAAATTTTGTGTCTATATAGGGGAGCGAAAGATTATACCAATAATGTTTTTATGTATACATTTACACTACCCTTATATTTGGAACTCACCAAAAGATTAATTTCTCATTTAGTTTAGTTTAATTAGCACTGTATAAAATAAATATGTAATAGAGATAATAAAAAATTGGGAACCCCCCACAATGAATAAAATATAGAAGAAGAAACAAAAGGGAAAAAGATTTCTATCAGTTTATACAAGTTTAGTTCAATTTTTTTGTTTAGGCCTTCTAAAAAGGATTTTATTTTATTGATAAAGTTCTTCCTTTTGTCTGATTGAAAGTAATAATTATTTGGTTTGCATGTGTTGTTTCATTATTTATTCATAATTACGTCAGTTAAGTTAGGTTTTCTGAAATAATCTCCAATGAAATAGTGACAAAATTAAAATATTTTATAATAACTGAAACACGCATTAAGCAACGTTCTCCTCGAAGCTGCTTGGCGTGGAATATTTTAAGTATGACCATCTCCTCCTCAGTCTACTGCTCGGTGTTGGAGAGCTCAAGCTCCCTCAGAGTATTTACCTGGAACTGGTTCAAATGAAATATACGAGGTCTACAGAAGGCCATGGTTGGCTACGACGGTTGGAGGGGAGGAATTGCTTTGTCTATATCTCGCTTCAACCATCTACAATCTACTCATTAGGCTATAGGTTAATCAAATTTTCACTAATTAAGGAGGGTTGTTACCGCAAAACCCCATTTAATTTGGCAGTTAGAGCAGTGGCTCGAATAACTGTTATATAACTCTAAAAATAATTTGATCATATTTCGGAAACTGTAAAACTAATGGTATTAAAATTTCATATAAATGAATGAAATAATAGGTTCGCTATTCCATTTAAATTTAGTTCTCTTTGTAGAAGTTCTTGCAATACTTTCCACAAAAATTCTAAAATAATTTGCATTTAATCCATACATATTGCACATCATGCCTCTGCTCATCAGTCTAGTTTAGTAATAGAACTATTAAAATAAATGTAAGCATTGAATTTTATTGGGTATCATAGACTTGAGAAAGGCTCTCGCTATTGCCTTTTTTTTAAATTCGTCTTTTTAAAAAATTAATTGGTCTATGTTCCCGTTTTCGAAAAAATTCAGCAAATGTAAAAAGGTTGAAAAGATTACTAAAAGCTTAAAGAATTTTTTTTCAAACACTTGTTGATATTGAGTGATATCGGTCCCCGAGAAATATTCAAAAATGGAACTAAAAGAATCAATGAAGAACATGATCTGACAGAAACTTAATAAGATTTAATATTAGTGTTATTATTTAATGTTAGTTATTAGTTATTTAATATTAGTGTAATGCTATTTACAACAATTTAAATTTATGCAAAATTTATTTTTACCGACCCCATTGTGTGTACAATAAGGCAGGTTATTTTTATTATAGCCTTATTTAAAGAAAGAGGGATTTATATCATGAAGCTCATTCGTATTATGATAAAGTGAAACCATTTGTAATAAACCTTTATCGATATTTTTATTTTGATATACAAATGTATTATGCATATAAGATTAGTTGTATGTTTTGGTATTATTTTATATATACATGTATAAAGAAATTTACATCTACATGTTTGTGTTGTAATTTTGAACTTAACTAGTGTGTGTTGGTATAGGTTAAAAAGATATCAAAATCGTTATTTTTAATTGATGACTATTAAAACTTCTAATGAAGGAGAATTAAGTGTGATGATGGTTTTAATCACGATAAACTCTGATAAAATTTTTTACTCAATAATTTAAATACCGTAATTTAATTTGATTAGAGTATACTTAATATAACAGTTACCTATGTATTTACGTGAAAATTAGTTCAGTTGAATAACAAACTTATTTTCCCTCCATTTGTTTGGTAAATTAATAAACTACATTTTGAATTTATAAGTTCAATTTCAGTACATAGAAAATATTGAATTTAATACCCTTAAGGTGTCAATTATCCAATTTTTTTGTCACCTCTTCTATATTTTTGGTACGAAAAAGGAAATATTAATAAATTGAATTTCTAGGTTATTTACAGGTTGCAAAATTCCTAAAAAATATGTAATGTGGTACGAGTAGATAAAATCTTAAGCAATACCGCCAATTTTTAAATATACTTTTTTTTTTCAATAAGACCGAAGCATTGTAAAATTTTGATATTCTGATAACATCTGTAGAACATTGAAAATAAAAGTGTCAAATATTCTCTATTTAAAATCATATTATAGAAAAATAGAAAAGATTTTCATATTCTGAAGCCAACGAAAGATTTCTTAATAGTATTTTAAATATAAAATTTCTTCAGACTTAAGTGTTTAATTAAAAAAAAATATGATAATTTTACTTTAATATGAAATTATGGAGTGAAAAATCGTAGACTGCCTATAATGTAACTACATATGTATGTATAGAGACTATTTCAACTGTCGACACTAATATATCTTAATGGGTAATAAAATGTCTAAAATGCCGATTTATTGCTTACTAATGCGTTTATATATTTCTTATTTTCTGCTTTGTTCTTATTTATTTTGTTTTCCGTAACCCAGAAGAATAATTTTTTTTTTGTACAGGAATTTCATTTTATTATGTCCTTTGATACATAAAATGTTTAAAGTTGTATATAAATTTTCTTATATACATTTAGGTGCCTACATCTCCTTGTAGTAATAAAGCTATATATGCATGCATATATGAGAAATGAGTGTTAAAAACAAGCTTTTGGAAATGGCAATTTTTATTGGAAATAGAAGTAGAATAAATTACGATTAAAACTGATCTTACCAAATGAAATGCAGGGGTGTAAAATATGCGAACTCGCTAACAAAATTTTGGATAATATAAAGAATTTGTATGATTTTGCTAAAATTTTAAGAATGTTCAGCCTAAAAAAATGGCTACTTTGGAGAAAAGGTGGTTTCCGGTAACAGATTTATACTTTGTGGTACCATAGCTTGTATCGATAAGAAACTTTTACTCTACTACTCTTGGACAAAATGTCCCCGATATTGAAAATTTCATTGGTTTAAGAGAGGTAACCAAAAATACATGCAAGTGTCGATCGTATGAAACAAAATTGTTTGCATGACAGACATGAACTACCTTGCTTGTATCTTTGCTATTACTTTAGAAAGTATCAGATAACATAGCATTACTATCAGATAGATGAAATAGTGTTCTTATGATTCTAATGCTTAACGTAACCTAACCGTACTATTACCTTTTGTTTAATCCTGCATTATATTGCACAAGTATGATGTGGGAGCTTATCGTATAATGAATGTTTTGTAATTCATTTAGAGAGGGACCTGTTAATATTTCGACAGTTGGATAGTCAATAGAATTTTTTTTAAATTATTTTGAAAAAAAAATTATTTTGAAAAACTTGAATGAATAACTTTCTTTATAATAGATTGCTTCCCCCTAACAATGCTATTTTCTGTGACCATTTATTTTCTTAGCTGTTTATTTTCATTTTCCATTTTTTTTTTCATAAGAAATGATGTAGATTACAGTTATTTCGTTTTATCGGTGTTTACTTTTTTCTTAAAACGGTACTAAGACAGATTTTTTCACTTTGTTTATTTTCGTTTCATTATTTTTGTGATAAAATTTTTCATTTTTGTGAAAACAATGAGAGTAAATGAATGAGCATGAATTTTTTTCTTGTTTTAAATTTGTTATAACATTTACAATTAAAGCTATGTGATACAAAAATTATAAGAATAAAAGAAAAATTTAAAGATTTTTCTAAGCATTTCAACAATTACAGTGTTAATAGTTAGGATTTTAAACTAATTTTAAGGCAGTTTACAATGTATGTATAAATAAAATACTGTTTAAAAATTATTATGAAAAATTTTTATGGAAAATTGTGTTACATTTAATTTAAGGAATAAGGTTTATTTTAATCCTTGAGAAAATTAAATCGTTTTAAGTTTTAACTTAATTTACTAACAATGTATAATGTTTGCAAAGGAAAGGAATTAGCCAATTAGCAAACTTCCAACAGAATGACATTCGATTACGATTTCAAACAATTTGTCCGATATATGAAAATAACATGGGGTATGTGCTTGGTTTTCCAAATGTACACTTACAAATCCCCTAATTATTCTATACTTTTCATCTGAAAACCTGAACTTTCTAAGTGGCTTAAAAATAATTAAGAATTTTACTTTTGGAAATTGCTTATTTTTTTTATTTTTTTTTTCGATAATCCTCCTTTACAATAAAAATATGTTATACATGTTTCATACACATATTATTTCGGTATTATCCTGGTGGAGGCGGTGGCGGTGGTGGAGGGGGTGGAGGTGGTGGTGGTGGAGGTGGAGGTGGTGGTGGTGGTGGCGGGGGTGGTGGTGGTGGTGGTGGAGGAGGTGGTGGTGGAGGTGGTGGTGGTGGTGGGGGTGGTGGTGGAGGTGGCGGAGGTGGTGGTGGTGGTGGAGGAGGTGGAGGAGGAGGTGGTGGTGGTGGTGGAGGTGGCGGTGGAGGTGGTGGTGGAGTTGTTGTTGGTGCTGCTGTTGTAGTAGTAGTTTTGAATTTATTGATGAAACGAGTTTCATCATCATCATCTACTGTGTTATCTGTACTATCTGTACTATTTGTACTATTAGTGCTATTAGTAGCTAAAATATGAAAAGAAGAAATAATAAATATTGAGCAATAATATATTTAAGACAATTTGTTTTGAATGTGTTCACTTACCGTTACACGTTACTAATATTACACCAAACAAAAGTAAAAATTTAAAACAACCGAATTTCATCTTGATCGATTGCTTACAAATTATTTTATGGTATTATTTTTTTAAATGTGTTTTACTTTTATAGTTAATTATTGTTTCGAAATATGCAAAAAACAAACAATATACTTTTTTTTAAATAAAATTCAAATTGAAGGCTGGAATGTTTTGTATTTGTTCACACTTTACACAATTTTTTTATATAATGAAAATTTGTACTAATGCAGGCCACTAAACTAGTTCATTTTATGCGTGAATACGTGAAAATAAAGCTTTTTATGGTACACATCATTCCAAGAAACTATTTGCACCTAAATAAATAGTGTATATAAGATCAAATTTTCATTATAAGAAAATTTGTAAGCTGTAGGCGAGCTTTGCTATATTTTGTTCTTAAACTAGTTTTTATAAACACGAAATTATTAAATTTAACTATTTAATTCTGTTAAACGAATTAAGTGTAGAGCTCCCATTTATATAGCTTTAGGTTTAAGTTACGTAAATGATTTATATATTAACATATTTACAAAGTTTTGAAATTTGAGACATATCCGAGTTTTCGTGTAGAAAAAGCAAAATCCGAAAATTCGATAAAGATCATGTTGTAATAGTTGTTAATTCCCATTATATAATTAAGAGATATATTTAGTTTAAGGGGGGGGGATGCCAACAATTTTTATTCCAAAGAAATAATACCGTCGGAAAGATTTACTTGTGTACGAAATACGCCAGACGGACAGACGAACAGATGGACAGGTAGAGTTAAAAAAAGGTAACATTTTTTGCAAATATCCCATAAATGCCATTACAAGAGTTGTGCGTGAAATTTCTAAGCTATTGATTGAGTTATTATTAGTGTCTTAGAACATGCAGGGCAAGTACGTGTTTTGGGGTTTTTTGACATTTAAATTAATACCGTTTTACATTAAGTTATGATCATTAAATAAAGGCCAATGTTCCCTTCTAAAATTCAAAAAATTTATTCCGAGAAAGGCTCTTTTTCTCAACGAAGATGACGTGGTCATCTAAATTTGATATTGTTTACAAGCATTTAGATGCACTCAATAATTTTTGTGGTATAAAATGCTGAACATACATAAATATTAAAGAAAAAGCATATATTTAATTTTTTTTTTATTTAAATTTCAAAATAAAATTATTTGAAATTTTGCGCTTTCGTAATTGTTCAATGACGCTTTCATTTTATATTCGAAAACGAATTTTTAAAGTTAATGCGTTTTATTTTAATCTAGAACTGAAAGTTTTCAATTGTTATTGTAGAGTATTTAAAGAAGTTTTACGTATTGTGTTGAAGTAATTTGTTTAACCCTGTGCAATAACAATTGGAACTATATAGTATGAAGGAGAGTACTGAATTTTAACTCCAATTTTTTGAAGAATGAAGAAATTCTAACAATGACATATGAATTTCAACATCACAATCTTACATGATTATTTTAAAAATGGCGTTGCTGGATGTATCACTTTAAATATAACCTTAAAATTTTGAGAAAATTTGAACCTAGTTTCCGGTACTCATGTAAAAGAGAAATTTCAAAAAAAATTTAAAACAAATTTGAAAAAAATTATTGTACAACTTTTACCCTGCATCAAGCATTATCTCGTATCGCGGAGACTGTGTTTACAGAATTTTGCTCTAGTTTCTCTTTTGCTACAATAATTTCTTATGCTGACATTTTGTAATATGGTTTTGTTGTAAATTTTATTTACGTATCATTCTTTTTCAATAATAAACCAATTACATTAGATTTCAAGCGCGTGTGTTGGAAGTGAAAATTAATTAAATTAATGAAAAATTTCCAAAACTCTTGCAGAAAAGATTTTAATTAAAATTTTTTAAAAACTGTCATTGCACCTCACTGTTAAAAATACCGGAATTTTTAAATTTATGTGAATCTCACTTTTGCAATATTTCTGGCACGTCCGATTTTCGTAATATTACAAGTGCTATGAATAGACCTAAATAATTTTCTATCTTATTAAATTTTTGTAAACCAATTAAAATCTAAAATGTCACTGTTACTGTTATACTGTTATAAATTTTCTCGAGGTGCTTGTAATATTTTTATATTTCTAATATACAGTTTTTTATATGTTATGTTTTACATAACTGTGTTATGTAAACTGTAATTGAAGTGAATGCCGAGGAAAAATTTTTTACTTACTCATTTGGCTTAATATTGTTTTATTTTTGTACTCAATAGTTCTAGCACTATGAAATATTAATGTTTAATTATGTTATGATCAAACATTCAAAGCTTTTAGTTCTTATTTTTAAAGGACCAACAATTTGAACAAAATGTTTTAAAAAAAACATAAAATTATTTACGTTTTAAATAAAATATTTTACAATTTTAAACATGAACTGCTGGCAAAAAAGATGTTAAAATTTTAATTTTTAATCAACTTAAAATACCAAATAAATATTGAAAATAATTCAAATAAAAATACCATGAAGAAAACTCTCTAAATCTTTTTGAAAGTTTGAATAAAAAAAAAACAAATAAATTTATTGATTTTGTCTTCGATACCTTGAAATCGATGAAAAATTAATGGTAAATAATAATGAAAAAAAGGAGAGGGAAATAGGAAAACAAAAAATTGAGTACATACTTGAATAATTCAAAAATCCAAATAGAAAATGTAGTGAACAACTACTCTGTATAGAATTTTGAATTTATTCTTTTCTCATTTTTATTTAGATGTATGTAGGTATGTGCAATTTTCTTATTCTTATTTTTTCTTTCAAATTCAAACAACGTATAATTTCTAAAATCACCATCTCTTTTTTTGTCAACAATCCTATATGTTTCTATTGCGTCCTTGCCTATATTTTTAAATTCATTAATCGAAAGATAAATCTAAACAATTCAAATCAGTAGATTGTCACGTATTATTTGCTTGTTTCTATACAAGTACAAGATATCCTATATAGTGTAAGGATAAATATTCAATTTTTTTTTTGACAAATATATTGTTATATACACACAAAGAAAAGCATATAAATGTATGTAAGAATTTAAATTTTTTTTTTTCATTTTGAAGAAGAGATTTTAAATACACATGCATCTGTACATTTGTATATACAATAGAAATTATAATTCCTTATTATTATTTTCCTTTTTTTTTTGTGCTTTTAAGATTAAAGACATTTTTTTTGTTATGCTGAAAAGTAAATTCGAATCAAATAAGATTTAATTCAATTGCTACTCACGTTTTTCCAAAAAAAAAAAATGAAAAAGACAACGAAAATTTTTTGTTCTTTTATTTTTATTCTCTTTCATACTTATAAAGTACAAACACACAAAAACATTTGAATGAAACGTGTAGAATTGAAATTAAAGTGCTAAAAAGGTTGAGTTGTTTAAGAATTGATTCTGTGTTTTTTTTCTCTTTTATTAAAAAAAAAATATGAAGTCATACCTTTAAATAAAAATTGATAATTTAAAGTGTCAATCTATTGATTGGCTCATTGGGTGATTTTTGTTTTCTTTTAACTCTTAAAAATGAACTGAAATCCATTCATTTGTCTTTAATAATAAATTTCAGCTATTTTTATTCTGTCATATTTAATTTTGGAAATAAAAATGGAAAATTTGGAATCTAAAGGAGTAGTATCTAAAGGAATAGTATAACAATCCAAAATACTTGAAATTTTATTCCTTGTTCTTCTATCAGTTGGAAGTAGTTATTAAATTTGTAAGTGAAATTTATTTCTAGTCTAGTTGAGGTCCCTTCATTCTTTCGACTGAAGTTCATCGATGGCTTCGTAATATTTAATCAGTTCATAAGATGAAAGCCTTAAGTCGCACACTCAACTACCTAATCTAGGCCGAAAATCCCACATGTGAAATTGCTTTACAAAATATTTCATATAAATTTGAACATAATGTTTATAAATTTGAACTTAATAACATAAGGAGTTGAATATTTCAAGGATCTTTGTATGAGTATCTACATAATTGAATAAAATTGAGTCAAACCAAAGGTGTGTAATGTAGCACTTTTCTTTTCAACAAGTGAATACTGCTTTTAAAAAAAAAATCTAGCTATGTACTGCATTATCAAAATTATAAAATTGTTTTATTATATTAAGATTGCATATATTTAGGATAAGTAATAAAACGAAAAAAAATTTAAGAGGCGTTAACATATTGCTCGAATTTAAGGGTTGCGATAGTTAAGAAATTATATTTTTTGATGAGATGACATTTGTCGTTAGCTTTCTGCATTTACAAAAATGTGAAAGGCTTACAGTGTCGGATATATAAGGTTTCAAAGTTCGAAAGGCGATAATTTGAGAGGAAGTGGTGGTGGAAAAAAATATTTTCTACAAACGAAATAAACTATTTATTAATGTCTAAAAGGTGCTAAAATTTAAGACTCTAAACCTGTTTCTCTAGGTCTAGAAGAAAAACAATATCAAAAATATAAAAAAAACGGATTTTAGATAATCGTCAATTTTAACGGACATTTTATTTTTTTGATTTTCAGGTATAGTATGCCGCGGTAGAAGAAGCCAGACACTATTTTTCGGCGTTTGCAAAATTTGAAAAATGCTTATGCTTTCGCTGTGATAAAAAATTAAAATATGGCATTTATAGGGTTTTGTGGGGCTATAACACTTGGATGCTGGGGGGAGATAGATAACAATTTTTCTGTACGGAAAAAAGTTTTTATTAAAGATCTATGTACTTACGAAATTTTAGCTTTCCATTTTTAAGGTCGTAGAACTGTTGTTAACATGTCCAAAAACAGAAAGACGGATGGAGAGAATGAAACTAATTAGCACTTTTTTTAAAATTTTTTTTTGGAAAAGAGCTAAAAATTAAAAAGTAAACTTACAATTTATAGAAAATTCATAACGTATAAATTATTTTGATGCGGCTTATCTAGATTTTCTAGCAAATTAATGTGTGTCAAATTGAATTAATATTGTTCTGTTGTTGTTGTTGCAAAGAAAATTTCATTTTTATAGTTTTCTCATAATATTATATATAATT